TCGAAGCATGAAGAGAAAGAACAACAGAGACTAATAGAAGAAGTGAATAATCTGCTAGAGGCAGTGCCAGATGAGTCTTTGCATAAACTAGACATCATCGATGCAATCCAACGTCTTGGAGTTGGTCACTATTTTGAAACCGAAATTGAAAAATCTCTAAGATATATATACGACACTTATTATATGGCCATGGTTTGTTGCTGTAATAATGATTGCTCTATCCGAAATTATTATATGAAAATCGGCAAATATTATTTGTTGCTGTAGTTTTTTCTTGTAAAGAAGTTGAATGGTTGAGGAATTTAATAATATAAAATTTTCCTTTTTCTTATAAATGAGATGATTCTTAAATTTCAGTGATCCTTTATGGACCTTTCTCAAAGTTCAGTGATAATTTGGGTTATAATCCCATCTTTTGTTAGTATATTTTAAATTGTTTTACATGAGACTCGTTTATACCTTTTTAAAACTTGGAAACTCTTGCACAATTATTTCCTTTTTTTAATATTCTTTCTTTCTTTTATATATGTTCATATAAAGATGATAATAAATTAGTCATTCCATAATGTTTTAATGGAGGAAATAGATGGCAAAAAACTTTTATGCAAATAAATGTTGATTCGAGAGTCCAAATGTCAAAATTGAAACGATAGGGACTTTTTGTGTTAATTACCTATATTTGACGAAATAAATTAACAGAATGAGACGAAAATGACAAACTTTGCAAGAAAATATTCATAGAAGGTTACAAATGTCATGTTCGAAATGATAAGGATGATTTGTGCATGAATGCAAACGATGTGAACGTTTTGTCCTATTTACCCTAATTATTAGACCAGAGTTGCAAAGTTGAGAACATTTTCACATAACCAAATTTGTAAGAGCCTTGCTGCGTGCACAGAATACTGTGCACGCAAAATTCCACCAGACCACACACAACACATGTGGGGTCCATGTGAGATTTCTAGTGAAAATCGGTGACCATTTTTCTGTACAAAATGGTTACAACCAATTTGTAATCACATTATTTCCTTCGCGCACACATTTAGTAAGTGAATGTGACACGTTCAAATTAGAGTTCATTTTGACAGAACTTCTGTGTTTGCTTCTACTTTTTGTAGAAGAGTTCAATGAGAAATTTACCTTAGGTCAATTACTTATAAAAACCCTTCTAGTATAAAACATTTTTAGATATTTAAATAAGCATGTTTAAAATCAATTTCTTAATCTTAGAAATAGTTTTTGATTTTTCAAGAATCTTGTCTAATAGACTCTATGAAACATTCTATTTGGACAATCGGACATGATTGTTCTATTTGGACATAATCGAAGATTGTTCTCAAAAAATATTAACATTGAAGCGTAATCGATTCTTCATAATAAACGCAATATTAGCAGGAGCCAGAACACGAAGTTTTGGTTCCACGAATGAGGGAAAAAAATAAATAAAAATCAGGTTGCTCGTCACTAATTAAATGGTATGGCAACATTTAAATGAAAGATGGGCCCACTTCAAGCGGACCATAATTTGGTCCATCAGATTTTGTTTGACCCGCCATGTTTGAAAAAGGAAAAAATTCATAAATAAGAGTTTAAGTTTCAACTATTTCAAATTTAAGCGCCTAAGGTTTAAAATTTCAAATGTCAGATTTTTTCAAAATTTATTTATAAATAAATTAAGTAAACATATATTTTATTAATTAAATATATTAAGGTCACAATTCCATATAATTTGGTCACAAATTATGGGTCGCAAATTATTTCACAGTCACAAATTGAAAATTTTATACGTCACAATTTTTTTATTGGTCACAAATTTATAAAATTAATAAGTCATATATTATTCATTGGTCACAAATCACAAATTTTATATATCACAAATTATTTTAACGTCACAATTCAAAAAAATTTATAGTTTACAATTTATTATCAGTCACAAATCAAAAATTGAAACATCACAATTTATTTACAGGTCACACGTCACAAATATTATAAGCCATAACTATTAGACAGTCACAAATTATCGTTCACAAATTAACAATTTTTTAGGTCACGTTATTTTTTGGTCACAATTTATCTTTTTCATTGGTCGAATATTGTTTATTGGTCACCGATTAACCAATTTACTGGTCACAAACAACTAAATAATGTGTGACCACCACCAATACTTGTGACTACCACCTCACCATTGCCACCAACAGCATGACAACCGAAACCCATTTGCCTGAACCACCACCCATCCTACGAACCAAGAAAAATCCCCAACCCTACCATCAATGCCGCTGACCACCTCTAATAAATTTTCAACTTCAAATCCACCAACACCACCACCTTGTCACCACAACTACCAACAAAATCATCGTCACCACCGTACCAACAAGATCCAATACCGTCGCCCAAACATCAGATCGCCACCTAAAAATCAACAAAATCACAGCCCAAAAATCAGTAAAATCACCGCCCAGCCACCAACAAAATCACCGCCACCAACACTATCCAATATTGTTGCCTAAACACCAAATCGTAAGCAAAAAAATCTCTGCCCAAACAACACCAAAATCGCAATCACCACACCACTACCTCACCACCACCAACAAACCATCGCCACCACAACCACCAAAAAGATCCAAGAGAATCACCGCCACAGCCGCCCAAAAAAACACAACAAATCGGATCCACAAACACCATCATCGCAACAGCATCACTAGAACCAGAATGTTGCTGGTTGTGTGCGATCGTACTCAGATCAGATCTACCAATTAATCGATCTCAACCACCACCATATATGACCGTTGCCATCGCAGTTGCCACAGGAATAGCCACCGCCACCGCCAACACAAGCACCAAACCCACAACCACCAACAACTTCAACACCACGGCATCGCACCGCCAACATCACCACCAATTATCGGCAACGCGATGGACACCACTCACGGCTACTGACAGTGACGGGGTGCTCCGCGAGTTCGGTGGGAGAGGAAATGCAACGACCAGGTGATGGAAGAGAGAGAGCGGCGGCGGTGATAGCGGTGGGTTGGTAGAGAGAGCGAGAAGAGGGAGAGAGGAAGAAGAAAGTTGAAATTTGTTTTAGGGTTTGGGGTGGATTAGTTTAAATTTTAAATAATAATAATAATATTTAAAATTTTAATTATCATCTGATTTTTGAAAAGAAAAAAAAAACTTTTAAATTTGAATTTTGAAATTGGAAGTTGAAAATTCTGATATGTTGTAATTTCCACTTTGAAAAATGAAAGTTGTTAGGCCAATTAGTGTTCTAAAAAAATTATAAAATTGACAAAAATAGCATTAAAAATGAAAACGAGAAGAAAATTATAAAGTGAAAGAAAGGAGGATATAAAAAAGGATAGTGTTAGCAAAAAAAAAAAAAAATAGGAGAACTGGAGTAATCTTCAGTTGGGTGCGGCATATAATATTTAAGATTATCAATTGCATGTCAAATTTTACTTGTCGTGTTATTTTATCAAAGGGAAAAAGGTACATAAAAATACGTTAAAGCCCAACTTCGCTTTATTAAAGATAAAAGTTCTACATAACTTATCCAACTCCTCACAATAATCCTAGTATACATTACTTTTAGGTAAATTAATTGTAATACGTTTATTTTACACTAATGTAAGTTACTATTACTTTATATTTGTATGATATTAAAATTTCTTATATATAATATTATAAATATTGTTGACACACAAAACAAATTCAGGTTGCTCAATTATTCTAAAATATTTCTATCTTAACACACTTTCTTTTCAAATCTTATCTAAATCAAATGTAACGTTAAAGATAATAATAAAGAAAGAAACGAATGTATAATCGGAACGAGAACACGGAGTTTTAGCTATTTGACCTCTCTTTGATCTTTGTTTCTCTTAGGTATGACCAATCAGCAATACTCTGTCGGCTCGCACAATTGCATACGTTTATTGAACCACGTTTTTAAAAAATTATTTGTAATTATACATTCTACTAATAGATAATTTTACATGTAAATCAAAACTTTTTTCCCTCCCTTTTAACCACACATTCTAAAAAAAATTCATTATTACAACATCTATTCTCCCGGAAATTGGGTTCACAGAAAAATGGGTTCAAAGAAACCCATATCCTATTATTTAGTGTTGTCATTTCAAAATAAGTATAATTTTTAAAGGGTTTAAAAAACGATGTTTACTCCTTAACTTATAGACATTTCTTATAAATAATATTTTAAATTTTAAAATGACAATATTTAATCATTTAGGCAAATTTTATTTTTTAGTATATAATTTCGGTGAATTCATATATACTAGATAAATCGACAGCATTTATTAAATAGTCTCTTTGTTGTTCCCAACGTGAAATCGACAAGATAACTCTGAGAAATTTATAAGGTCCACTTGCTACATAAATTAATATGCAACTAAATCTACATAACACGTCTACGAAACTTTAATAAAATGTATACAATGTAGCTTGTTTTTCTTGAAATTTACATTTCAGGAAGAAATTATTTGATGTCTGCACTCCTTTGAGTGTATCTTTGGTTAGATGGCCTTTATGCTAGAATTATTATCTTCAATTTTGTAAGTCCTTTGAATGGACTTTTCGAAAAGAAAGCGTCATTAAGTGTAATATAAACTAATTGATAAAATATTGATGATAAGAATAAGAAAAAAAAAAAGAGTGGAGTGGGGCTTTTAATACAATAAAAAATTAGTGAAAAAAAAAAACAAAAGAAAAAAACAGTAATGACAATATAACACCCAAAATCAATATACGAATGCATGCTTAGTTTCCTAATTCTTTTTTTTTTTTTTTTGGTAAACCCAATTTTATTAAAAAACAAAATCAACACTCTTCAACTTAAGGACATAATACTAAGCAAACTCAGCCTGTGTTTGATTCTCACTATTTCCCTATTATAATGAGAATTTTATTTTATAATAGTAATGTTTTAGAAAATCGTACAGGTTATCCCCTTCTAACCTCTCTCTCTCTCCCTCTCTCTTTTGTTACTCCCTATCTCACGCTAGGACCTTCTTGAAGGAATAGAATGGTCCAAAAATTCATTCGGAAAAGCTATAATATGCAATAGCGAT